AAACATCAAAAAAAAAAATTAAAAAACTACAGCGTTTAAAATCACAAATATGGGCAGGCACCTGGGTGGCTCAGTTGGTTAAGCATCTTGACCTGATTTTGGCTCAGGTCAATAACTCATGGTTCCTGAGGTGGAGCTCATAGAGCAGAGCCTGCTTGGGATTCTCTCTCTCCTCTGCCTCTCCTCCGTTCATGTGCACCTTCATGTGCACCTTCGTGTGCACACATACTCTTCTCTCTCTCTCAAATAAATAAATAAACTTAAAACACACACACACACACACACAAATATGGAAGCAATATGTGATGAAGAAACTGCTGTGGAAATAAGCATCTGGTTAGTTTACAAAATCAGCCAGAAGCAAAACAAAAGTGATGAGATGCAGAAAACAGAGAATTGAGGTTCTTAGGGTTCAAGTCAACTGAGGAGAAGCAAATGAGGTCAAAGAAAGAATGGGAAAGACTGAGGTAGCCAAAAATTTGAAAGAAGTAGAGGAGAAAGGGGGAAGGTACACAAATGGAGCAATATGGAAATCAAATTTCTAAGAAGAGAGTAACAATGGAAAACAGGTAAAAAAAAAAAAAAAGACAGGAAGGAGCAACAGAAAAATTCAGGCATTTAAAATAAACAGTATTGGGTGCAGGGACAAATTAAAGCAAGGAAAAGAAAAAACCAAGAGAAGTTGAATATATAAGAGGATGGGAAAACTGGGGGGATGTGGGCAATCCAGGTGAGAGGAATAGTTCCAACCATAAGAGCAGGTGTGACCGACTCAAAAAAAAAGAGCTGAATAAAACAGTGTGGGTGGGGGCTCAGAACTGGGAAATTAGAGCAGATGAAAAGTGGGTATTAAGTGAGGAAAGATGAACCATCAAGGCCAGAAGAACCAGAGGGAGGACACGAGTAGACAGCTGAGAAAAACAGCTCTTTCCACTTGGAAAAAGGAATGGATGATAGACTGAAATTGTCAGAGATGCTAGAGCATCAATCAACATGGAAACATCCAGAAGAACAACAAAAATAACAAAGCAAGAACAATAGCCATAAAACGCTCCTTGATCTTACAAACCTTTTCAGCTACTTCCTTCTTTCCACTCATAGCAAACTCACAGAACAATTCTGTTTCACTTTCTTGTTTTCTCACATCACTGAAACTGGTTTTGTCAAGATGACCAATGGCCTCCACATAGCTCAACCTTCTTCTTACTTGAGCTATCAACATATTTGACACCGTTTGACATCTTTCTTGTTCACCCTTCATTCTCTTGTCTTCCAAGACCCCACTCTCCCAGTTTTCCCTCCTTTACCACTTGTTCTTTTAGTATCTTTTGGTGCCTCCTCTTCATCCCTATTTCTAAATGCCAGTGTGCTCTAGGTTAAGATCTTCCACCTCTTCTCAACATTTACTCCCTATGTGATCGCATCAGGCTTTAAAACTAACTATAACTAACTGTATACATCAATGATTCTTAATTAGTCTTTCTCTAGCTCAAACCTCTCCCCTGGACATACTTCCATTTACCTACTGGACATTCTGGATAGCTAAAAGACATTCCAAATCTACACGTTTAAACCAAAGCCCCACAAATTTCCTTTCTCAGAGTTTCCTCGTTACAATAAACAGTGACACTATTTTATCTACTTTTTCAAGTCAAAAAACTTGGGAGTTATGTTTGATGCTTCTACTTCTCTCATACACCATTATCCAGATCATTAACTCATCTGTTGATACTACCTTTAAAATGCATCCCAAATCCAGGCATTCTCAGCATGTCTACCATTAACACCTTAATCAAACCACCAACATACCTCACCTGAATTACCACAAAAATCTCCTTTATTAGTCTCCACCCTTCTACCCTTACCACCTACTAGGTCTTCTCTCACTGCCAGACTGATTGCTTTAAAACACACACCATGCCCTTTTCATGCTTAATATTTTCCAGTAGATTCGTATTTAAACGAGAACAGAAATCAAGGACCTGCAGAACCTAGGCCTTTCTATCTCAGTGACTTTTCTACCAGGCCTCTTGCCATTTTACTCCTCCTTGTGATTCCCTGAACACATCAAACATGCTCCTACTCCAGGAACTTTGCACTTAGTATTAACACTGACTGGAATGGTATTCTCTCAGACTGTGAATGACTCATTCCCTCCAGAATGAATATTTAAAAGGTAACTGGTTGCTGTGTGGAAAAGAGAGAACTTCAAGAATGAAGGCAGGAAAACAAGTTTGGAGACTACTAAAATAGTTCAAAGGAAAGAGGAAGGTGGCCTGTACCAGGGAAGGAAAGTGAAGATGGAATAAAGGGACAAATGCTGGACATATTTTTAGTGCAATGAATGAGCCTGGGACAACCACTCTCATGATCATGGCATGTCCCCTGCCAGGTAAGTATCTGTGGACATATTTGAGAAGATTAAGAACTGTTTATGAACTGGCAACAGGGGAAGATGAAGGAATCAATCAAAGGAGGACAACAGGTTTTGGCATGAGCAAATGTACAGATGATGATATGATTTATGAAACTGAGAGTATGGAGATACCACCAGGCTTGAGAATGTGAAAGGAACAGAACAGGGAACCATGAGTTCTGTTTTGAACATATTCATGAGATGACCATTAAATATCCAAACAATGTATCTGTATCTATCTATCTATCTATCTATCTATCTATCTATCTATCTATCTATTCATCTATCTATCTATCTCTGGAGTATAGGAAAGAAGTTTGGGTTAGATATCTAAGTTAGAAATCACCCGCATATAACAAATAATTACAGCCATGAGAATGAATGAGATCACCCAAGAAGAGTTAGGCAAAAAGAGACTCAGCAAAGGAGACTAAGATATGGCCAGTGAAAAAGGAGGTATGAGATTAGGGTGCCACAGAAGCCAAGAGAGCAATGTTTTTTAAAAAGGGAATTAATGGGGCGCCTGGGTGGCGCAGTCGGTTAAGCGTCCGACTTCAGCCAGGTCACGATCTCGCGGTCCGTGAGTTCGAGCCCCATGTCAGGCTCTGGGCTGATGGCTCGGAGCCTGGAGCCTGTTTCCGATTCTGTGTCTCCCTCTCTCTCTGCCCCTCCCCCGTTCATGCTCTGTCTCTCTCTGTCCCAAAAATAAAAAAAATTAAAAAAAAAAAAAAAAACAAATAAAAAGGGAATTAAGAAGCTCTATTAAATCTTCTGATAAGTGGCTTAGAAAATGACCACTTTATCTGGCAACATGAAGACTACTGGCAGCTTAGAGTAAGTAGTAATTTTAGTAAGGGTGAAAAAAGAAAATCTGAACAGAACAGGCTGAGGAGAAAACGGGAAGCAATGAACCGAAAACAATGAGTACATATACCTCTTCTAAATTTAACTATAAATGTAGAGGTAGTAGCCAGAAGGTGATCTGGAATAAAGGGAGAGGTTTTATTTGTTTGTAGACTGGAGCTACCAGAGTGTGCTGATATGACTGATTCTATAAAGGACAAACTGCTAATGCAGATGAGTAACTGAAAAGCAAAATGTTTGCGTTGACAAAAGGGATTGACTGGATCCAGAAGCCAAAGAGTTGGTTGACCTTAAGATAAAACAGTAAACAATTTACCCTTAATACCAAAAAAAAAATAGTACGAATACAAATGAAGAGTAGTTTGAAAGATTTTAAGATTGGAAAATGAGGTACTTTCTATCTGATCCCTTTTTTCAATAAATTACATTTTTTCAACAAATTATAGGCCAAGATCATCAAGTAAGGAGAGTATACTGCAAGTTTATGAAATAGTCATTGCAGAGAGGGCTCAATGTACTGATTTTACTATCTCTAAGAGAAAAGTTTATAAATACTTTCATAATTAGTTACCTTTAGTCATACAGAAGTGGAAACAATTTAAATAACCATCAATAACCAAGTGAATACACTATAGAATATAAACTCAGTGGATCAGTAATTAGTTCTAGTAATTAAAACTAATGAAAAAAAAGTGTGTGTATATACGAACATATCTGCAGTGTGTCACTAAATATTTGATTTGTATGACAGCAAAATAAAATGCTACTGGTGTACTGAAATATTTATGTTTGAGTGTATTTATATATATACACAAAGATACATTTGTATAAACAGAAAAAAACCTGGGAGAAATATACAAGGAACTGTTAAGGGAGGAGCTGGCAGATAACTGAGAGAGGCACATGAAACCACTACATACATAAAACAAGAAAAACCTATCGGCCAAAATACGCAGTATAGAAATTTCTATGTCCTTTACACACAGTAATGGTATAAACACTGTAATTCAAACAAAGATTCACACACAAAGATTTAAATTATGGCACATTTTAATGAAAAACTAACAGCAATCTAAATGTAAGAAAATTATGCAACTATTAAAAATGTTCATAATAGGAGACATGTTTTAAGTAGGAAATATTTCATACATATAAAAAATGTAAAGATTAAAAGAAGCACCCAAATGCCAAACACCTAGATTGTGAATTTAATGTTTTTAATGACATGGAACCTTATGATATTAAGTGAGGAAAAAACATCAGAATACAAAATTAGAGTATGACTTCACTTAAGTCTGTACTTAAAGGAGAAGAAAATACATGAAAATGTCACTAGTGGTGTCACTGGATGCTTAGACTGTGTATAGACTTTTCTAACTCTTTATAGTTTTCCACTGCCAGGTTTTCTACAACAAAACTTATTGCTTTTATAATTATAAAAATTTATTTTAATTTTTTTTTAAATTTTTTTTTAATGTTTATTTATTTTTGAGACAGAGAGAGACAGAACATGAATGGGGGAGGGTCAGAGAGAGAGGGAGACACAGAATCTGAAACAGGCTCCAGGCTCTGAGCTGTCAGCACAGAGCCCGATGCGGGGCTCGAACTCACAGACTGCGAGATCGTGACCTGAGCCGAAGTCGGACGCTTAACCGACTGAGCCACCCAGGCGCCCCTAAAAATTTATTTTAAAGATATGTAAGTTTATTAGCGTCATTACCTTGGGATCATGAACAAATGTATTTCCTTTGGTTCCAGGAGGAAAATCTCCAGTACAAATATATTTTAGACATTCAATGATGGTCTAAAGAAATAGAAAATTATATTATTTAGTTATAAGAGAACCAGAGAAGTTTATCATAAAATGTTAATTTATTATAAAAATACTATTTACCAGAGAACCAAAAAAGATATGCAGATAAAATTTGACATTATAATATCTATATAATACAGATACGATTCTGTGTTAAAGAATAAATAACTGCTTTAAGTTCATGGGAAAGCTACTAATTAAGAAGGTATACGAAAATAAAATAATTATTTTTAAAAAGTCCTCAATTTCCAATTAAAACCCTTTAATTTAATAACAGCTAATGTAAAAGATGGTTACCATAGTTGATAATTTGCCAATATGCTGATGGTAGAAGTTAAATGTTCTTACAAAAAAAAAAATGAGGTGACAGATTTGTTAATTAACTAGATAGCAGTGATCCTTTCACAATGTACAGTATATTAAGTCACCCTGACATACCCTTCAAATATCTTACGATTTCATGGATCAATTACACCTCAATAAAACCAAAACAACTTTTTTTAAGTTCAATTTTTTAAAAACAGCTAATAGTTACACAGGCCTTACTATGTGCCAGGTATTGTACTCACCACCTTTACATACATTAGTAATTTTCACATTAATCCTAGACTGTAGGAAACTCTTTTTATCTCCATTTTATAAATGAGAAAACTAAAGCACGAACCATTTGGGCCACCCTGGCCCACTCACAGAGCTAGTAAATGGTGAAGCAAAATATCTGTATTCAGACAGCTTGTGCTCATAAACCTTAGGCTCCCTTACAAAAGTAGAGCCACAACAGGCATTCTATAAAAAGTAACATTTTCACATAAACAAAAGTAGACAAGAGTATGGCATTCAATGTTCAACTCTAAACCTGACCTCTTTCTGTATGCTTTTTAGTCTTCTCTGTTAGAATGCCCTGCTTTTTCTCAAGCCACCCTTACAGGCTGTACTTTCCCCCCATAATTGCATGTCACTCCAGGGTCCATCTCAAATTTCTAAATATTCTCTGGGCCTTAAAAAGTCAAAGTACATGCTCCAATTTTTTATTTTGACTAGGTAAGGGCATCCTAACAACATAGTTTTTCAACTAAACTAGGCCTCACGGTATTGGTTTCATTTTATCATTTCCCATTTATTATGCTTAGACTTCAGTCTATACTTAGAAACTCTTCTCAGAAAGCCCTATGTTTATCATATTTTATAACTTGTGTAGGAAATTCTATAATGGATCAACTGTCAGGAAGTGAATAGTATGTTTGGGGAGCAAGGGGAGTGTTAAAAAAAAAAAAAATCAACGCAGACAAAAAGGCTTCATGTAAAAATGTAAGGTCGCTGAGCGCTCCCGGTCTTCTGGGACTCTCAAATAAACCTTGTCCACCCGAGCCTGGATACCCTTACGAGACTGAGTCAGGTCCCCTCCTAAGGTCGCTGGGGCCAGAAGGCCACACCAGGCCACGCCCAGCGGCAGGAGCTCCACCCAGAGGCCCAAGCCTTTCCTCGGGCACCAAGAGCGGAGCCCCAGGGACGCCTGGCCTCTGGTCCTTATTGTTCTGAGCTCTCCAAACACCTTATCCTCCAGATTCTCAAGAAGTAGCGACCCGTAAACTGAAGGCTGCTACTGAGAACTTACCGTCTTCCCCGCCCCATTGGGTCCAACCAAAATTGTGAGGGGGCTGAAAAAAGTGATAATTTGCTTATCTTTGTCCTCTATTCCAAAACTCCGCACACCCAGAATGCTCATCTTTTCAATCCGGGACATGTCTGCAAATGTTTCTTTTCTCAACACCAATCGCCTAGAGCCCCGGCGCACCAGGATTTAGCGGTGCCGCGGAGGCAGAGCGAGCGATGGGCCGTGAGGACTCGCGAGTCTCCCGGCCGGGAGGCTCCACGTAGGAGCGAAGGCTCCGGCTGAACTCCTCCTCCCACACCGGCTTCTTTCCCCCCTGACAAGCGAGAGCGGAGGTGGGGGCCGGGCCGGGGCTAGGCGCGGCAGACACACCCCACAGACCCAGGGACCCCCTACTACCGCGCACTCACAGATTCCCGCCGCGGCCGCCCCGCGCATCACGTGGGCCGCCACGACCAGCGTGCATTTACGCCGCAGGCCAGGGGCATGCCGGGAAGTCAGAGCCTCGCGGTGCGTGCGCAGCTCTGGTTTCCGGAAGTAGTTCCGGTCGAGTGGTTGGCATACCCGGGTTTCTGTCCCGTGGGTGCGTAATGCCGAATTTTGATGGGTGCCGGGTAGCCTTGAGAAGCTGTAACCCTGAGGACGACGAACACTTGTGATAAACGGTGGTTATCAGAATGTGATCGCGGGACGCCTGGAATGGGAAGGAGTGCGGTGTCCTCTAATGTCGAAACCATTTTCCAATAATATTAACACTTT